TTTGCTCTCACCTTCATTAGTACGTTCAAAATATGGTTTTAACATATTAATGTGACACACTCAATTTTGTTTACGCCAACCTGGTGATTTTACAATATAATTCAAGTTATTAATTTTACTCTCTATGGTATAAAGACCACAATATTTAGCCTGTAAAGGATTCCAGGGACTGGCAAAATACAAGTACCTTATCACCAGGCTCAAAAAATCTGTCCCTGGCATCTTTATCATACCATATTTTCATCTTATTCTGAACATTTTTTAAATTGTTCTGAGCAATTTGACAAGCAGTATAAAATGTTTCTTTAAATCTAGATACATAGTCTAGAAGGTTCAAGTCAGTGCGTTCAGTAAGCCATTTTTCCTTAGCCAATTTTAAAGGTCCCCTTACAGTATGACCAAACACCAACTCAAAGGGACTAAAACCAAGGGATTCTTGAACAGCCTCGCGGACCGCAAAAAGTAAAAAGTGAACACCATCGTCCCAGTCTCTGCCAAATTGAAGTAAAAATGTTTGATGAAAACGTTCTAAGGCACCTTGAGATTCTGGATGATACGCACTTGACATATACTGAGCTATCCCTAACTGGTAAACGACTTGCTGAAATAAACCTGACATGAAATTTGAACCCTGGTCGGACTGTATAGACTTAGGAAGTCCTACTAACGTGAAAAATTTGATAAGAGCTTTGACAATAGTTGGTGTCTTGATATTCCTTAATAGAATAGCCTCAGGAAAGCGAGTTGATGTACACATGATCGTCAATAAATATGCATTTCCAGTCTTGGTCTTTGGTAAAGGTCCAAAGCAGTCAATTAGTACTCTGCTGAAAGGTTCTTCAAAGGCTGGAATTGGCAAAAGCGGTGATGGTGGTATTTTCTGGTTAGGCTTACCAACAACCTGGCATATATTGCATGATTTGCAATATTCTGCGACATCATTTTTAAGTCTGGGCCAGTAGAAATGCTGCAAGATCTTAAAGCAAGTCTTCCTTATACCTAAGTGTCCAGCCAAGGGGGTGTCATGGGCAAGACCAATAATTTCTTGCCTACAGACTTTAGGCCCCACTACTTGGTATACCACTCTCCATTCCTCATCTGGGGTAGCATCAGGGGGCCTCCACTTCCTCATTAAAATGCCGTCTAGATTTTAGTAGCATTCGGCCACTTTGTTTGCTTCCTCATGTGGTTGAGCTCTCTTGCGGAGCTGAAGAACCTCTGGGTCTTTATTTTTTTCTTCAATAAATTTCCTTCGGTCTAATGAATGGCTGTTCACGTCTGGCCATGGCATAATTACATTCTTGTTAGTACTAGGTTGTCTTACTATGGCCTTCTCTGAGCTACCGGGACCTTCAATGTCGACAAGGAAAGTGTCAGAAAGGTCCATGTAATCAAACTGGTCTTCTTGCAAATCCTCGTTTTGTTGTTATATTGCCATCGCCCTTGTAACAACACAAGCTGGATACAGTTCAGCATCATTTTCTGGTGATTTAACATCTACAACCGGTTCACTGGTAACAATTGGTTCAGCAATCACTTTGTTCCTTGCTAGATCATTTCCTAGCAATAATGAAACCCCCTCAACAGGGAGATTAGGACGAACACCCACAACAACTGGTCCACTAATCAAATCTGACTTCAGATAAATACGATGGAGGGGAACATCTATACAACCTAACTCCACACCTTGTAACAAAATGGAGGCACCAACAGAAGTCTCCTCGGACAAAGGCAACACACCTTCTAACAATAAAGTCTGAGAAGCTCCAGTGTCCCGTAAAATCTTAATAGGCTGAGGAGTAGTATTATCAACAATAGAAACAAACCCATCAGACATAAAGGGTTTATAATCCTCCATGTAATCACAAAAACTGGACTTGCAATCCTGACTCGCAGGACATTCCAACTTATTGGTAACAAGGGGTGTCGTACAAGCACTGGACTTTGGCTTATTATCTCTTTCATTCTTCTTCTGGAGTCTAAAACAATCAGCCATCAGATGACCCTTTTTCTTACAATAAGTTAGTGACATCTTCTCAAAAGTATCAAATTTTGACTAGACATATTATAACTAGACTGACTCTTATTCTGTGTAACAGGCTTACACTCAGTACCTCTCAGCACTTTGATTTTTGTAATTTCTGCTCGAAGTATTACGATATTGACCTTTGAAGCTTCTTTTACGTGAAATAGTATAATTATCGGAAACAACAGCTGCATCTTGCAATGTCTCAACAGTTTTGTCGTCTAAATCTGTTTTCAAGTCGAAATGAACACACTGCTTGAATTCTTCTAATAACACTAATTGTCTTATTTTATCAAAATTGTTACCTATTTTCTTTGACGTAAGCCATTTATCAAATAGATCTTCTTTTCCCCTAGCAAGTTCAACATAGATTTGTGAATCAAACATTTTAATTTAAAAGACCTTAATTTCTGTCTATATGCTTCTGGCACTAGCTCATAAGCTTTCAAAACTTCCTGTTTTACAGTGTCATAATCAGAATTTTTTTTTCAAGATCGCCCTCAAAAACACTTTGCAGCATTGTAGTCCAATAAAGCTTTAGCCATTTCAAGTATTGAGCTCTTTTCTTAAAACTGTGGAAAAAATTTACCAACTGTTTTTTTCACAAAATTTTGGAACCAAACGTATATTTTTTGCTGCATCAAAATAAAAATGTTCTGATTTTGACTCTACTTTAGTGTTGCTTTCTACTTTAACCATTTCAATTTTTATTTTCTCCATCTCTAACCTTTCCCTCATTTCAAGTTCTGTCTGTTTTAATTTAAAGTTATCTTCTTTTTCTATTTCTATCATCTTCTCCATCTCTAACCTTTCCTTCATTTCAAGTTCTGCCTGTCTTTTTTATTTTTATTTTTCCAATTGTTTTAATTTAAGTTTAATTTGATAGCATCAACATTTTCGACCTTGAGTTCAAGACCCTCTTCACCAAAAAATTCTGAGTCAACTAAATTGTCTTTTACCAAATTTTTTATGATTTTTTTTCTCATAGATATTCTTTAATCTATATGTAGATGTTTAGCAAGCAACACTTATACTCCTTTCTTTAGTTTATCAAACCCTTTCAGGTCTGGCGTTTTCAAAAAATTAAATTATATATATACAAGTCTAAATTGAAAACAACGTTCAAACCTATGATTGCGTTGCATAAAAACTGCAATTTTTATACGTGTGCATGCAAAGCAAGTTTCTTGTTAGAGGGGTCTAAATACAGCACAAAAAAACATTTTCCAAAAGACCAAAAGAGTGAAAAAGTATATTTTAACAAAACGCATTTGACTAACAGGTCGAACAACAAATGTTCTTAAACCCTGCTGACTGCCATTGGCGATTGCCAAATAAACGGATCACCGATGTAATAAATGGATCTTAAATATAAATTTAATACTAAACAGAAAACAATAAACTTGCGGAAAGGATGTAATACCACAAACAAAAGGTGCAAAGGTTTTGTACACCAAAATTATCCGGATTTCGACAATTAATGTCTCTTCAGTGATGTTAGGAATCGAAACGGTATTTGGAAAGCCATACAATTTACCTCAATTTAGGATAGACTCTTGAATTTTGAGGAGTCAAAATAGGATGAACGGATCATATAAAACCGAAGGCAAATATAATACAAGCCCAAACGAAAAAATATAAACAAGTCTAAATTGAAAACAACGTTCAAACCTATGATTGCGTTGGATAAAAACCGCAATTTTTATACGTGTGCATGCAAAGCAAATTTCTTGTTAAAGGGGTCTAAATACAGCACAAACAACATTTTCCAAAAGACCAAAAGAGTGAAAAAGTATATTTTAACAAAACGCATTTGACTAACATGTCGAACAACAAATGTTCTTAAACCCTGCTGACTGCCATTGGCGAATGCCAAAATAAACGGATCACCGATGTAATAAATGGATCTTCAATATAAATTTAATACTAAACAGAAAACAATAAACTTGCGGAAATGATGTTATACCGCAAACAAAAGGTGCAAAGGTTTTGTACACCATATCCGGATTTCGACAATTAATGTCTCTTCAGTGATGTTAGGAATCGAAACGGTATTTGGAAAGCCATACAATTTATCTCAATTTAGGATAGACTCTTGAATTTTGAGGAGTCAAAATAGGATGAACGGATCATATAAACCCGAAGGCAAATATAATACAAGCCCAAACGAAAAAATATAAACAAGTCTAAATTGAAAACAACGTTCAAACCTATGATTGCGTTGGATAAAAACCGCAATTTTTATACGTGTGCATGCAAAGCAAATTTCTTGTTAGAGAGATCAAAATACAGCACAAACAACATTTTCCAAAAGACCAAAAGAGTGAAAAAGTATATTTTAACAAAACGCATTTGACTAACAGGTCGAACAACAAATGTTCTTAAACCCTGCTGACTGCCATTGGCGATTGCCAAATAAACGGATCACCGATGTAATAAATGGATCTTAAATATAAATTAAATACTAAACAGAAAACAATAAACTTGCGGAAAGGATGTAATACCGCAAACAAAAGGTGCAAATGTTTTGTACACCATATCCGGATTTCGACAATTAATGTCTCTTCAGTGATGTTAGGAATCGAAACGGTATTTGGAAAGCCATACAATTTACCTCAATTTAGGATAGACACTTGAATTTTGAGGAGTCAAAATAGGATGAACGGATCATATAAACCCGAAGGCAAATATAATACAAGCCCAAACGAAAAAATATAAACAAGTCTAAATTGAAAACAACGTTCAAACCTATGATTGCGTTGGATAAAAACCGCAATATATCTAGATACTTTTGTTATGACAAGTGTATTATACTCACAATGAACGACAACAATTATTGTGACTGATGTCAAATTACCAACAATATTTGCACAAGAACATTGGTAATTTCCAGCCTGGTTCCTGTTAATGTTATTCAGATTCAGTACAGATGTATTTCCAGCCGGGAGATTTGGTCTACTCCAGGTTATTGTACAGTCAGGTTTACAATCAGCTGAACAAGTTATTGGACCAACACGTTCTGTTGCTTCTGATACGGTGTAGGTTTGAGTTGATGGAGAAATGATGACTTGGTCAGGTCCATCTGTAAACAATATATTTCCAATTATATTAGTTAATTATTTTTATCGTGCATCGTATTCACATATAAACAGGCACCAATACATGTGTATGTAAGAGCAGTTTACAATGTATTAAATGATATGCAGATATACTTAACCTGGTATAAATGTTGGCAACTGCAAATACTAAGATACGCGAATAATTATGACGCTTTAAATTTTATTTTAGATTAGAGATCTGTTTTTTAGCTTGGATTTTTTTAATCTGATTTATCTGTTAATGTGTGGGTTGTTTGTTGTTATGATTTCAAAACATTAAACTGAACTTAAGAAAAGTATGAAAAATAAATCCGGTGAAAACATTTCTAAATTAAATTATGTTTTCAACATATGGGTTGGGTTGTTTTACATCTTGAAACCTGGGACTGATGATTGTATAATGTTTTTTTTTTTTATTTGCATTTATTGTTTTTAAGAAATACAGTACGAAATAAATGTGTCTTGGGGCACCCGAGATGCATTCAGTAAATATATCTATATATATATTGATTTTTTTACTTTAGCATCTTCCATGAATGGTTTAATGGTGTAAATTTGCCAAACAGTATGCAATTAAAGGATTTATACTTTTATGTCATATCAAAATTTGTAAAAATATTCCATTTTGGCATTATATGGTCAAATAAGTATTTGTAAGTATCTTCAATTTTTATGCATAATTGGTTTTTTTTTTATTTTCAATCTGACAGGTTTTCATGTCTTAATTTTTGTGTCTCTAGGCTTTTTCAAGTTTCAATTATCACTTGTGAACTCCAAATCTAGAGAACATTATATTTTCAAAAACAAAAGGTGCATAATGTGTTGTATTGATGGTCCTCACCTAACTGCCTGTTTACATAATAAAGAATTCTCTGAATCTGTATATATAGCACTTTACATGATTTGTGTGCCTGTTTCATTTCATATACTACCTTTTATTTCTTCTGAAGGATAGTAGGTGGTTTAAATATATGGCTGTTGGGAATAAAACAACATGCAAGTTGTCCATGGAAAATTAGAAAAATTGCAAAAAGGTTGAATGCAAGAGTCATGATGTACTCAGACATCTTGTATCATATCACCTGAGCATAGAAATGAGTGAATAAATGCAAATTGCTAATTCATATAACTTCAGTGTGGGATACCATATTTTGGTCTGTGCGTCCGTTTGTCCGTTTGACCACTTTTAGATACAGAATCTTTAAATAATTGATATATCAAATAAGGGTTTTATATATCACTGATCATTTTATTTTGATAAAATGGGGCACGTAGTCTCATGGACATATATTTCTGTTTCAGAATATAATTATATCTTCAATATTCATCATCTACCAACTAACAATTTGTTACGTATCTTTTGCTTGCAAATTATGTATACTATACATTCAAACTACATATATCATGAACAAGTATGGTCATTTCAATCGATACGTTTACTTTGGCTTTACACATGCAAGGTTGAAGAACATAAACTTTCAATATTTTTCAGACGTATTTGTCTAAATTAAACGTCAAACATTACAAAAAAACACACAATTTGTAAGCAATGACGTTAAATTACATATTGAGACTCTTCCTAGAACCAATGCATCATTGTAGTTAAAGACAAAACTAAATAGTTTAGTAAAGTGAAAGATTTTTTTTTCTTGAAGATGCATCCCGATAAATTCAATGTTAGAAAACTCAATAGAAAGATGACAAAGTACCATTTATTAGATGCATCAGTGCTCTGAATTTCTCCATCTGACAAAAGACTATTGAAATAAATTATAGAAATATGCTAAAATATAAGAAAGTCGTTTAGACCCTTTACCTTCGGACGGATTAGAAACTCATGTTTTAATCTTATAACTTATAAATTAAAAAAAAAAAGAATACAATCTCGCTTCAGGTTTCATTTATTTTTATTTTTTCAGACTTGATTTTGATTTAGTAGTTTCAAGAATTAAACATAAGAGAACAATGGAGAATAACTAAATACACGGGTCTAGTGGAATGGCCAAGTAATGATCGGGTGATTTGATTACAAGTTTCTGGATTGATTATTTCCTTAAAAGGTTGTTGTCAAAAAAAACATCCAGCTTTTACTATGTAAAGATTTAAAAAAGCACCTTAGGTGTATTTTAAAAAACAAAAGCTATTCCAACAAAGTATATGTAACGATCAAAAACATTCATGCAGTATATGCTCTCCTCCGTCGTGTTTAAATGCAATATGCTGCAATCCATTCAGATAGGTTGGTTATGTCGAGTAATGTCATGTTATTGTAAATCTATATTTGGCCCGATAACATAGTGATTTCGTAGTGCATTATTTTTAGACAATAAAGTATGTATATTCAACGAACTAAAAAATCATGCAATCCATGCTCTCCTCCGTGACGCTAAAATACAATAGGCCGAGATACGTTCAGAAAGGTTGTTTATGTCAAGCTATGTCATTTTACTGGAAATATCTTATAAGTAATAATCTAATAAATACACTTAATTATGTGCATTTTTGTTTCTCGTTGTCAAATTGAAGCATTGACAATGCCGTTATCTTAAAACTTTTGCTGACTTCGTCTTAGATCTTGGATCTGTACGTGATGTCCTGATAAGTGTTTTTCTTACCAATACAGTTTTAGTTCTACGCCAACACTTTAATTCAAAACGAATGAAACCCACAGCCAACGAAATCAAGGAATGCATGCGACTAATCCTGTTGCAGCTTTGCCGTGTAGACCATTGTTACAAATGATGTTAAAACAGACCCGGTTCCAAAAACAGCGGAAATGTTACATACGATTATATATCGTATGCAATTCGAACGCTTATAAACAGTTCTTTCTGATTTGCCCTGTCGTAATAAAATCAAAGGTGCAATAGCCGTTAAATCAATGACAAAGGTAAACAATTAACATTATTAAATTTTTCAAGAGTTCAACAAAATGCGATTTGCTTGTTCCAACGTGTTACGAAGTTTACTAATTATAAAGAGTATGTAAACCTATAGAACAAACAATAATGATTGAAAATCAAACGAAAATTTAGAGGTTAACTGGTAATATTTACAGTAAATTCCGCCATTAAAACATTCTGCAAACTTTTTAAAAATTAGATAAATACCCTGAAAGAAAAACATTTTCAAGGATCAATATCTATATTTCAAAAATAATATAGATTTATAGATTTATAGTGTATCTATTAAAGAAATTTGTTTCTTACTTTGAAATTAAAATCATTGAAATACTGCTCTTGAAATAGCCGTCCGAAAAGTTGTCAAAAATACCGCGATCTGCAAAACATACTAATTTTGATTTTCTGTGCCAAGATAACACATTGCTGGCTATCAATATCAGGAAGAAAATAATTTTTCATACTAAAAGAAGGAGAAAATAAGTGTAAAAAAATAATATTCAACCTTAAAAAAAATGTTGTACTAAGTTGATGTTATTTATCCTCTTGTAGTCATGTTGAGATGAAATACTTATTGCATCATGCGTTTTTGAAACACAAAACAAGGAAAACTGTATGTAAGTATATTTTGACGAACATCTACGATTAAATATGAATGACAATAATATTAAATGCCTTCATGAGGACCAAAGACCATCTACAGTTTTATGAATTGTTCGTTTGTACATTTCGATTTGTGGACTGTTTTGTCTTGGTCATCTTGTGGTTTTTTTTTCAGAGTATTTCTTCAACTTTTGAATTTAGAATGTTCCTTTGTATCTTCCCTTTTTCAAAAAAGGTCATGTGACTAGTTTCTTTAATATTTAGTGATGCAATTAAATCCCAATCATGGTAATTAAAAACTCAAATTCAAGATGTTATATATATATATATATATAAACTGCCTAACAATGTAACGTTAACACACTATTTAGTATGTACATAATAAAATGTTGAAAATATTTACAATGCAATACAAAATAAACTAGCTTCATCGAGCGTTCATCTTTCCAAGTGAAATCGGATGCAGATAAGAAACTTTTGCAGTTCATTGTACATTGAATTTTGCTGCCTTATAAATAATTCAAAGTTTGGATAAAGTTCAAGATTATTTATTTAATAACGAGATTTGTTGTTGCAGTTTGCAACGTCCATTGGCCAATCTTACAGAAATATAAAGGACGATGCTGTATAATTAATTATTTTTTGTCTATCCTGTATCTTTTCTCGTCTTTTTCATTAAGCCCATCAGGTTCTTAAGTATAAAGCTGGTTGATCCAAAAGTTTGTTCTTCTCCTTCTCGCCGTGGTGTCCCACTCAGTGTTCACTTCTATAATTTTAAAAGTAACATTATCAAAAGGATGTTTCTATGAGCGAAGATGTCTTGTGAGGGGACAGTTTTTGTTACGAATTACACAGAATGATTGCAAATTGAAAAAAGTATTTTCCTTATCAAGAGTCATGGCCGTGAGAAGACATAAAACATCCGTGACAAATTAGTGACAGCTGTATTAACAAAGCAACCTACTCCACCTCCTGGTTGGTGCAAACAATGTGGAAGAAGGAATTGCTTATGTTGTAAAACTGCAAATACTAGCAGTTTTTTCACTAGCTCCTTCACAAAACCAGTTATACCATTTACACAAATTCCAACTGTAAAACGGAGAACTCAATTTATGTATTAACATGTAACACCTGTGGCATTCAGTACATGCGAGGAACAATGGACAATTTTCTTATTCGGCTAAATAACCATCGATCCTGGTACAAAACCAACAATTTCAGTACACTGACACAGAAATTTCAGCACCATACACACTTTGCAATTACTCTATGTATGTTTTATTCATAGAACACAGATACATGTAAGAAAAAAATAGATATTCATAATTCGTCTGAAATTTAGCCCAACAATGTCAGATCTTCAAATTTGCATTAGCAAATTTTTGTTCTTCCCTCAGCGGGATTCGAACCCGTACTTCTGTAACATCGTGACAACACCGCCTGTACCGTGTCCAGCGCCCTAGACCACTCAACCACATAGA